GATGCACCTGTAGGATACCTGTAGTGCACACCTGTAAGTTACAACATGGGATGCACCTGTAGGATACCTGTAGTGCACAGCTGTAAGTTACAACATGGGATGCACCCGTAGTGTACACCTGTAAGTTACAACATGGGGTGCACCTGAGGAATACCTGTAGTGCACACCTGTAAGTTACAACATGGGATGCACCTGTAGGATACCTGTAGTGCACACCTGTAAGTTACAACATGGGGATGCGCCTGTAGGATACCTGTGGTGCATACATGTTAAGTTACAACATGGTATGCACCTGTAGGATACCTGTAGTGCACACCTGTAAGTTACAACATCGGATGCACCTGTAGTGCACACCTGTAAGTTACAACATCGGATGCACCTGTAGTGCACACCTGTAAGTTACAACATGGGATGCACCTGTAGGTTACCTGTAGTGCACACCTGTAAGTTACAACATGGGATGCACCTGTAGGATACCTGTAGTGCACACCTGTAAGTTACAACATGGGATGCACCTATAGGATACCTGTAGTGCACACCTGTAAGTTACAACATGGGATGCACCTGTAGTGTACACCTGTAAGTTACGACATGGGGTGCACCTGAAGGATACCTGTAGTGCACACCTGTAAGTTACAACATGGGATGCACCTGTAGGATACCTGTAGTGCACACCTTTAAGTTACAAAACAGGATGCGCCTGTAGGATACCTGTGGTGCATACAGGTTTAAGTTACAACATGGTATGCACCTGTAGGATACCTATAAGTTACAACATCGGATGCACCTGTAGTGCACACCTGTAAAGTTACAACATGGGATGCACCTGTAGGTTACCTGTAGTGCACACCTGTAAGTTACAACATGGGATGCACCTGTAGGATACCTGTAGTGCACACCTGTAAGTTACAACACAGGATGCGCCTGTAGGATACCCTGTGGTGCATACATGTTAAGTTACAACATGGTATGCACCTGTAGGATACCTATAAGTTACAACATCGGATGCACCTGTAGTGCACACCTGTAAGTTACAACATGGGATGCACCTGTAGGTTACCTGTAGTGCACACCTGTAAGTTACAACATGGGATGCACCTGTAGGATACCTGTAGTTGCACACCTGTAAAGTTACAACACAGGATGCGCCTGTAGGATACCTGTGGTGCATACATGTTAAGTTACAACATGGTATGCACCTGTAGGATACCTATAAGTTACAACATCGGATGCACCTGTAGTGCACACCTGTAAGTTACAACATGGGATGCACCTGTAGGATACCTGTAGTGCACACCTGTAAGTTACAACACAGGATGCGCCTGTAGGATACCTGTGGTGCATACATGTTAAGTTACAACATGGTATGCACCTGTAGGATACCTATAAGTTACAACATCGGATGCACCTGTAGTGCACACCTGTAAGTTACAACATGGGATGCACCTGTAGGTTACCTGTAGTGCACACCTGTAAAGTTACAACATGGGATGCACCTGTAGGATACCTGTAGTGCACACCTGTAAGTTACAACATGGGATGCACCTATAGGATACCTGTAGTGCACACCTATAAGTTTACAACATCAGATGCACCTGTAGTGTACACCTGTAAAGTTACAACATCGGATGCACCTGTAGTGCACACCTGTAAGTTACAACATGGGATGCACCTGTAGTGTACACCTGTAAGTTACGACATGGGGTGCACCTGAAGGATACCTGTAGTGCACACCTGTAAGTTACAACATGGGATGCACCTGTAGGATACCTGTGGTGCACACCTGTAAGTTACAACACAGGATGCGCCTGTAGGATACCTGTGAATGCATACATGTTAAGTTACAACATGGTATGCACCTGTAGGATACCTATAAGTTACAACATCGGATGCACCTGTAGTGCACACCTGTAAGTTACAACATGGGATGCACCTGTAGGTTACCTGTAGTGCACACCTGTAAGTTACAACATGGGATGCACCTGTAGGATACCTGTAGTGCACACCTGTAAGTTACAACACAGGATGCGCCTGTAGGATACCCTGTGGTGCATACATGTTAAGTTACAACATGGGATGCACCTGTAGGATACCTATAAGTTACAACATCGGATGCACCTGTAGTGCACACCTGTAAGTTACAACATGGGATGCACCTGTAGTTGCACACCTGTAAAGTTACAACATCGGATGCACCTGTAGTGCACACCTTTAAAGTTACAACATGGGATGCACCTGTAGGTTACCTGTAGTGCACACCTGTAAGTTACAACATGGGATGCACCTGTAGGATACCTGTAGTTGCACACCTGTAAGTTACAACATGGGATGCACCTATAGGATACCTGTAGTGCACACCTGTAAGTTACAACATGGGATGCACCTGTAGTGTACACCTGTAAGTTACGACATGGGGGTGCACCTGAAGGTTACCTGTAGTGCACACCTGTAAGTTACAACATGGGATGCACCTGTAGGATACCTGTAGTGCACACCTTTAAGTTACAAAACAGGATGCGCCTGTAGGATACCTGTGGTGCATACATGTTAAAGTTACAACATGGTATGCACCTGTAGGATACCTATAAAGTTACAACATCGGATGCACCTGTAGTGCACACCTGTAAGTTACAACATGGGATGCACCTGTAGGTTACCTGTAGTGCACACCTGTAAGTTACAACATGGGATGCACCTGTAGGATACCTGTAGTGCACACCTGTAAGTTACAACACAGGATGCGCCTGTAGGATACCTGTGGTGCATACATGTTAAGTTACAACATGGGATGCACCTGTAGGATACCTGTAAGTTACAACATCGGATGCACCTGTAGTGCACACCTGTAAGTTACAACATGGGATGCACCTGTAGTGCACACCTGTAAGTTACAACATCGGATGCACCTGTAGTGCACACCTGTAAGTTACAACATGGGATGCACCTGTAGGTTACCTGTAGTGCACACCTGTAAGTTACAACATGGGATGCACCTGTAGGATACCTGTAGTGCACACCTGTAAGTTTACAACATGGGATGCACCTATAGGATACCTGTAGTGCAATACACCTGTAAGTTACAACATGGGATGCACCTGTAGTGTACACCTGTAAGTTACGACATGGGGTGCACCTGAAGGTTACCTGTAGTGCACACCTGTAAGTTACAACACAGGATGCGCCTGTAGGGATACCTGTGGTGCATACATGTTAAGTTACAACATGGTATGCACCTGTAGGATACCTATAAGTTACAACATCGGATGCACCTGTAGTGCACACCTGTAAGTTACAACATGGGATGCACCTGTAGGTTACCTGTAGTGCACACCTGTAAGTTACAACATGGGATGCACCTGTAGGATACCTGTAGTGCACACCTGTAAGTTACAACACGGGATGCGCCTGTAGGATACCTGTGGTGCATACATGTTAAGTTACAACATGGTATGCACCTGTAGGATACCTATATGTTACAACATCGGATGCACCTGTAGTGCACACCTGTAAGTTACAACATGGGATGCACCTGTAGGATACCTGTAGTGCACACCTGTAAGTTACAACACAGGATGCGCCTGTAGGATACCTGTGGTGCATACATGTTAAGTTACAACATGGTATGCACCTGTAGGATACCTATATAGTTACAACATCGGATGCACCTGTAGTGCACACCTGTAAGTTACAACATGGGATGCACCTGTAGGATACCTGTAGTGCACACCTGTAAGTTACAACATGGGATGCACCTGTAGGATACCTGTAGTGCACACCTGTAAGTTACAACATGGGATGCACCTATAGGATACCTGTAGTGCACACCTGTAAGTTACAACATGGGATGCACCCGTAGTGTACACCTGTAAGTTACAACATGGGATGCACCTGTAGTGTACACCTGTAAGTTACAACATGGGATGCACCTGTAGTGTACACCTGTAAGTTACGACATGGGGTGCACCTGAAGGATACCTGTAGTGCACACCTGTAAGTTACAACATGGGATGCACCTGTAGGATACCTGTAGTGCACACCTGTAAGTTACAACACAGGATGCGCCTGTAGGATACCTGTGGTGCATACATGTTAAGTTACAACATGGTATGCACCTGTAGGATACCTATAAGTTACAACATCGGATGCACCTGTAGTGCACACCTGTAAGTTACAACATGGGATGCACCTGTAGGTTACCTGTAGTGCACACCTGTAAGTTACAACATGGGATGCACCTGTAGGATACCTGTAGTGCACACCTGTAAGTTACAACACAGGATGCGCCTGTAGGATACCTGTGGTGCATACATGTTAAGTTACAACATGGGATGCACCTGTAGGATACCTGTAAGTTACAACATGGGATGCACCTGTAGTGCACACCTGTAAGTTACAACATGGGATGCACCTGTAGGTTACCTGTAGTGCACACCTGTAAGTTACAACATGGGATGCACCTGTAGGATACCTGTAGTGCACACCTGTAAGTTACAACACAGGATGCGCCTGTAGGATACCTGTGGTGCATACATGTTAAGTTACAACATGGTATGCACCTGTAGGATACCTATAAGTTACAACATCGGATGCACCTGTAGTGCACACCTGTAAAGTTACAACATGGGATGCACCTGTAGGTTACCTGTAGTGCACACCTGTAAGTTACAACATGGGATGCACCTGTAGGTTACCTGTAGTGCACACCTGTAAGATACAACATGGGATGCACCTGTAGGATACCTGTAGTGCACACCTGTAAGTTACAACATGGGATGCACCTGTAGGATACCTGTAGTGCACACCTGTAAGTTACAACATGGGATGCACCTGTAGGATACCTGTAGTGCACACCTGTAAGTGTCATCATTACGTTCAGATTTGAGAATTGCAAAAATGTGCAAATATCCAAATTTTATTTCCCTCAATCTTTCATGGGTAACATACCCCTGTTATTATGACATGACACAAAACAAAAACCCCAGTGACATCTGTATTTTCAGGAAATGAAGACTATCAACCCCTTCGGCATCGTTCCTGTTTGTCCACGTCCAGACTTCACAGCGCCCCACGACAGAGCCAAACTATCAGCGTAGGATGTCAGATGGTCCATAAAGAGAGCACAGCACTGTATTATGTCTCAACCCAGGAACATATTTTGAAGCCATTGAATGGCATTTAGTACTGACAGACACTTCTTTTTCATGATAAGGAACACAATGTTTCGGAGTATATTCATACTGAATGAAAGCTAGGATGCAGCATATATTTATATGTGAGAACAACAAAAGTTGGATGGATACATATACCCAAGGGAAACTGGTAATTAATTGGCACTGATTGGTTATAGCCATGGACAAACGGAAACGAGGTGTAAATTGAATTCCTTCAAGGGAGATTTTGTTCATGTTGTTGAAATTGTAAATGCTTTGTTAAAAAAAGGAAATTGGTATCCTGAATAAAAGAATTTTACAAATCCAATTGTAAAAATTATTTGTGATTCTTCTAACAAACTACTTGGTCCATCAATCTGTGACAATAATATGTATCAACCAAATGGGATGGTGACTTGTTGATTCAAGTTTTAATAAAAAAGATTTTCAAAATATAAAAATCTTTCAGAGTGTATATCCTTTGCACTGGTCCAGTATATCCTGACTGAACTATGACTGGAAAGTCTAAATATAGGATGGGTGATTGTGCTCCCTTTCAGGTGTAGATGCCACGACACTCAGAGAAGACACGATCATGGATGTACGAATAACCACAATATAAGGGCACAGACTGTATAGAGTTAGATTTGAAAGTTGTAGTTCGTTTGTTTTCATGATACAGATATCAAAATGCTTTTCTAAATCCTTGAATTTAAAGCTTCCAGATAGGTTTTATGCCATATCTTTCTTAGAAAGATTTCTCATACTTCCACCAAGCAGACCTTTGTTGTTGTTCAACAGATCAAATGTCAATAAACGTTCTAAAATCTTAACTGTTGGGACATTTCCTGTCAGTGTCAACTTTCAGTGTTGTCACAACCCCTAGTGTACAGTACACAACCCTGTGCACTTATAAGAACCCACGAATCCGTTGGTATATGACCAGACGGTGGTCACATACAAATGTGCAAACACCTAGTTGCGGGTAAAGCAACGTGCAGTAAACTTGGACAAAGTACTGTGACTGTGTGTCCCAATTCACCCAGCTGTGAATGTACCTTGTAAGGATGGGAAAGCCACAGTAACTTGTGCGCCTTGTGGCAGCAAGAGTTGTATGGTCCCCAGGGAGCTGTGATTAATAATAAGATGTTCCGTTGCGATTGACATCTAATTATTGAGGGGAAAAATACCAGCGCCTTGAGCATGCACTAGTGTGTGGATATGTGCGCTATATAAATATTAAATAGCCAATAATAATAATAATAATAATTTGTTATGCACTTTTAGTACTGTCAAAGTGAGTTCACCAGACAGATTGCCTCCCCTTGTGCTCTGTAAGAAAATACTGTTTTGTTGCATATTTCAGGGTTTTTCATACACACAGACAAGCTACGTGGTCACTCTAAGTGTCATAGTAATAGAAACTATATTTTGCACCTCCCCTCGTGGTACGGGGCCATTCTGAAGGCCTTGCTAGTGATATTGATTGTCGTGTTTCTGTAGAAATTTAGGTTAGAACTTCTCGAGTGCCAGTTGAATGGCAGAGAATACTGTTTACGATACAGTGACCCTAGCGTGTTTGTTTGATAGAGATGATAGTGTACCTGGGTATTTTCTGTTTTGCTTTTTGAAAATATGTCCGTGTTTATCTTCCGGTCGATTTGGAAGATGGTTTGGTGAATAGATGTACTCTTTATACATACAAATGAGATGAATACCTTAAGCAATGACACCGTATCTTCCCGATGACCTGAAACTAAACTCAAAATACAGGACAGTGATGTTAGAGAAGAGAGAAGTGAGTGAGTGAGTGTGAGTTGGGTTTTACGTCACTTTTCGCAATATTCCAGCAATATCACGGCGAGGGGCACCAGAAATGGGTTTCACATTGTACCCATGTGGGGAATCGAACCCGGGCCTTCGGTGTGACGAGCGAAAGCTTTAACCACTAGGCTACCCCACCGCCCGAAGAGAGAAGTAAATAAAGTGTGTTGGTTGGGCACTGACAGTCTTGGAGATATACTCCTCAAACGAAATTAACTATTGACATGAGACATATATGTCGTAGAAGAAGAAGACATTGTGCATAGTAACTGTAGTAACACTGAACATACTTCATCATTCTGACTGTATTTCCCATCTTCCACCCGTCATGAATTTTCATTCCAACGTGAAATAATACAACGTTTATCTTACATGAATTGTCACCGCCATTGCTGAAATGTATGCCGCGATGTGATAAAATAAATTCTATCCTTGAAAACTCAGAAAAGGTCATCTTGATGTACATGTATCCGGAGCAAAGAGACTCCATCCACACAATATAAAAACATGTTACAAAGGGCCTAAATGTTAGCAAATTGCTAAAATTAGCAGTGACAAATCTGCGTTTTCTTTATCAACATTTGTGTATTGTTCACATGCCCGCTGTCTTGCGGTTGGAGGTTGGCCTTATAGTGAGTAGTACATTATCACCAGAGTATTATTGATCGAAGAATTGAAATAAACACAATATATTTATCGGTGTTACACGCACGCATGCACATACATCGTATATCACAAGGATCAGGTAAAATATGCAGATTGAAACAGACTATAGTCTCTCAATACTGTCGATCTGGTGCCGATGTTTATGGCAGGTGAAAATACTTAAAGATAAACCTGTTGTGTGATCCCAGCGATAGACGGGCCGAGTCGCCGTGTGAGAATATCGATGACCCCTGTCCAGCTCCTCGGACGATCTCACGGCTACAATTACATAAGGAACGTATACCTGTAACTACCAACGTTACGCAAGGCATCGACTACAACATCGCTGCCGGCTATAGGCGACACAATGACGACTTTATGTCATCCACCTATTGCCCTTATCATTTGTTATATTCATAAATTTACCGATCTTAGGTGTATCAGACTCATGTTGAGGCAAAATGCGACTCAGATGATTGACCGCTCTGTTTCGAGTTTATGTTCGACTGTTTATCAGCTGTTGTACGTTTGTCAAGACAATTCCCGTTCTCAAAGGATTGTATCTTAGAAAATGATATCCCAAATTTAACATTTGACCACTTTCTAAATGGCATTGTGTATTCATATTACCTATGATGTTTTTATTACATGACGGTATTTCATGCATAGGTCGACCGCTATATTCAATATACCCAGATCAAGTGGGATCGTCTTCTTCATATTATGTTTAAATATTTTTCAGTAGTGGTAGCAGAGTGAGAGAGAGTTGAGTTGAGTTGAAGTGGGCTTTACGTCACATCGGCACTATTCCAGCCATATAGTGACGAGAACAAGTCTGCATTAGTAAACATTGTCAGTACAAAGTCAAAATGAGTTTTATTTCAAAAACATATATTCATTACATTGTCATTTAAAAACAGAAAAAGTCATAGCACTAAATTTAAAGGCAGGCAATTTGTTAGTCACATTACACAGTTACAATTTATGATACAGATCAACTTCCTTCAGGTAGTTCACTATCAGATGAGCGCTCACGCGGGAGAACAGATCTTTCAGATTTGTTGCTTCATAATGTGAGTCCCTTGCAGACGATAAGTCCACACAGTCAAGCAGAATATGCTTGATGGTGAAAACCTCATCGCAAGAGACACACATGGGGGGTCCATCCCCATCCGTTTTCAGCAGATAGTCATGAGTAAACCGACTGTGGCCAATACGACATCGTCTTGATTGACAACCCAAGTAGGTATAACCAATTGTTGGCTTCAATTCATACAGTTTATTTCTTCCTACTTGAGTGTCCCGGCTTTTTGCATGAGGTCCCGAGTATAGCTTTTGATAGTGGGTTTGAAATCACTGTACGGGATCAGCAGTGGAGATAAGGGCTTGTCAAGAGATGCTTTGCTGCAGCATCGGCTTTGTGTTACCTGCTATGCCGACGTGACCCGGCAACCAGCAGAGGACGATGTCACATTGGCCAGTAGAGAGGTCGTTGTAAAGTTCTAAAATGTCCAGAATGATTGGGTGACTTGAAGTGACATTTTGAAGTGCTTGAAGGCAAGATAATGAATCTGTGAAAACGATGAAGTTTTGGAATGCTTCCGCTGTTTAATATAGGTCATAGCTGAAAAGATAGCTTTCTCTCCAGGGAGAACAGAACTGTTGTCGGGAATCCTAGAGGAGACAGTCTTGGATCCAATGACTGTAGCACTGGCAACTTGGCCCTCATCCTTGGATCCGTGTGTGAAAATGGATCTATGGGTGTCATACTTGGAACGTAACTGGTTGTATTCCTGCTGGAACACCAAAGGATTAGAGAAATTGAGTTTATTACACTAAGGGGGCTACCGGCCCATTATACAAGTAGCACAACATGTATGTAACACATATATAGAGTGCCATGCATATTCTTTACAATTACAACTGATTATTTCTTTTTTTCATGGCAAGTAATACATACTTCGCTAAACAATTAATAACATCCGGGTTTCTGGGTGATAATAGCTAATAAAATTTAGGATATGTTGGATTTTCAATTTAATATGCAGGTCTGGCAATTTTCTCAAATCTGACCAAAAAAGGCATATTAAATGATACTCTGTTTCAATACAGGGAACAATGCATAGAGGACAAAATCGTTGATCTTTAGCAATATGAAGTTTTCTACCTTCCTCTATCATTAATCTTTAAAATCAAACAGAAGCCTATTTATACAACATACATCTTGATTGTGACAAACATAGCTGAAATCATATTTATTTAAAGGTCACATGCAACGTAACACACAGATTCTGATACCTTTCGGCATGGACTTACAGTAACAAATTATAAAAATTCAAATTCAACTTATAAAGTTGAAAAGTAACGTGATGAAAAAACCCCGCGAAATCGGAGTTCAAACGATTCACGAAATTCACCCCAGCTGGGGTGAAAAGTGGTTTCAACAGCTGTGCTGGGCTACGCTGAAAATGAACCTTGTTAAGGATCTAGATCTACTCAGCTATAGTGTCAACCAGCGAGGCGTTCGACATTTCAAGACGGAAAACCTTCGCTGCCGGTTGGGGACACCAGCATTGGGCTCAACATATTGTACCCATGTGGAATCGATTCCAGGTCTACAGCTTGACGAGCGGACGCTTAAACCATTAGGCTATCCCACCGCCATGCACTCCGATGAATGTGTTTACACAAGATTATGCATACACCATTAATGTCCTGTGGTTCCGGTGAAAACAACGTTTTTCCCAACGTAACTCACAAGAAACAATCTTCTAATGTTCACTGTCATCAGTTTCATTATATTTCCACAGCAGTCGAAATAATGTTCCAGTTCTCATGACATTTAAAACGTCACACGAT